ACCATGATAACATAGATATGTCTCAGTCACCATGACTTGTCATACTATCGTACAGATAGTATATGCATTGTTGAAACCTTATATAATTAGACTTTTTTAAACTTCTCTGATGTTTGAATCTGCTATCTTACCATATGTTGTGTACAACTAGTTAATTTATATTTTGTCCTTTTATGTGTGACATCATTTTGTGATGTTTAATATATAACATTAAAAAAAAAATATTGTGCAGCATTATTGATCTTAATTATTTCCTATTACGTTTACCATTGTATTTGTCACCTAACTTGTGGTTAAAAAAGTTTTACTGTCAAGGATTATAATGCCGAACATCATCCTGGCGTTATTATAATGCAGAGCATCAAACTGGTCTTATTGTAATACTGAGCATCATTCATCCTGGTCTTTCCTTGTGTCTGATAATGATCCAGGCTGGTGTGATGGTATATGGAATCCTGCAACATCAATTAGAGGCATTCATGATGTTGCCTCTGCTAGCATTCAGTGCCCTTTTGTATTCGTGACTATATGTTGGCAAATTATTTTGGTCATGGAAAGTAGGACTATTCTGATTTCTGGTATTTTGACCTTGCAGGTGGTCCCTCTTTACAATGTTTAGTGTTATTTATTGGTTAAGCTTGGCTGTTTCTGGGGACCACTAATAGATCATTCAATTACTTCCTGCACTGAAGGGCCAGGCTCAGGGAGCTAACAGAAACTCCCGTTCAGTTACTTATGGCTCATTGTTGCAAGTAGTGTAGGCAGGGTTTGGCAGAACTCAGGTAAGTAGTCAGATATAGATGCAGGGCCTGACAGTTGACTAAGCTAGGAGTCTAACCCCAACTCACAGTTGATTGGAAAACCCACAAAAGATGCATCCGAAAGACATATTACCAAGCCTTAGAATGGCCAGACTTAACGTATTAATACAGCAAGAAACAAGTTCAAGATAAATCAAGGTCAGGAGTACAGAAATACTCAAAGTCAAGACAAAGCCGGTTCAGTATACCAGAAATCACAAGGTCAACATGAAGCCGGGTCAGGATACCAGAAATTAGAAGGTCAATACAAAGCCGAGGTCAAACACAGAAAATAACAAGGGAATCACTAGGAGCACAAAGCAAGGATCTACACAGAAACCACCATAGGGCAATAAATGCAGGCTAATACAAGCCTTAAATAGAGAGTTGCCATTGGTTCATGTCATTTCTGCGACCCTGAACAGCTTTGGGGGTGCAGTTCGGGCCAAGAACCAGCAGAGAGAGCCATTCGAATTAATAATTTCTGTTCAGGCCATGCAGCCTCTGGACTGCGGTAATGTGTTATACACATTTCAGCGTGCATGTGGATTTTTATCAACATTTTGACATCTGACTTATTCTTTCCTGTCCAGGGAATCTCATTTTGGACTGCTACATCCGGATCTTACCAGGTATATACCAAGGCTTTCTTGATGGCGGCCTGGTGGTATACCTGAAGCAGGGGATGCAGCAAATCCCCCGTTCTAGAGCTAACACAGCCTTCGTATGGACCCATATGGGTTATCCTGGTACCCACTGGACATAGAGATTATCGTTAAACATTCTGCATGGAGTCAAGCTATTTCAAGTTGGCTATGACACTACCTAACTACCAGTGCTCTCCAGCTCAACACTCTATATGTGGTTTCCCTACTTCAAGCATTTGACAACGATTTGTTTTTGCTTTTATTCTAAAATGGAAAAATGGGTTCTGCACTACACTTTACACACCACTCCCAGGAAAGGGGTGCCCAGTCTTGGGGTACAGTCTCAAACTCTTGGATAATTTGACCCTGTCAATCCCCCCTCCATAGACCTCAATGCTGTACTATCACTCTTGCTGAAGCACCAGGACTTGAAGAGGACCTGCTGGAGGAAGTTGGCCTTGCCCGTGAGGAACAGGTTCAGGTAAGTAGTTCACCGGACCCCCAATGGCAATGTCAGTGTTGGGGGTCTTAGCGGAAACTGTGCCTCTTTAAATGTGCTTATCGGACATGACAGCTCATAGCTGTTAATAAATGTTTTTTGTTTTTTTTTGCTATTTTCCTGCTGTTTTAAACCTACCCGTAATGCTCCGTATTGCCATGAAGCTAAACAGTGAGCAGCCTGCTTGCTGTAATAAAAGACAAGTGACTGAACAACAATTAAATAGGTCAGTGGGGACCTGGACATTGGATGGGGGCTTTAAACTAAAAAAACGGGTGGTGAAGACTGCCATAATCCAACGGTTGCAAGATTATTATTATTATTATTATTCTATTTATATAACGCCAACAAATTCTGTAGCGCTTAACAATGGGTGGACTAGCAAACATGTAATTGTAACTAGAGATGTCCCGAACACTTCGCTGGCGAATAGTTCCCGGCGAACATCGCATGTTCGCGTTCGCCACGGCAGGCGAACATATGCGATGTTCGGTGCGCCCCCTATTCCATATCATTGAGTAAACTTTGACAACCCCCCCACCGCCGCTCGGGGGTGTGGGTTGTCAAAGTTTACTCAATGATATGGGGGGGGACCTACTGTCCTCCCCCCGGCCCCCACTCCTGAGCAGTGGGTGGGGGCCCTACAAAAAACAATAGGGGGGACACCTGAGTGGTGGGTGGGGGCCCTAAATACTAAGAAGGGAGGGGACCTAAGGTCCTCCCCCCTGGCCCCCACCCCTGAGCGGCGGGTGGGGGCCCTAAATACTAAGGTGGACCTAAGGTCCTAAGGAGACCTAAGGTCCTCCCCCCTGAGCGGCGGGTGGGGGCCATAAATACTAAAAAGGGGGGGACCTAAGGTCCTCCCCCCTGGCCCCCACCCCTGAGCGGCGGGTGGGGGCCCTAAATACTAAGAAGGGAGGGGACCTAAGGTCCTCCCCCCTGGCCCCCACCCCTGAGCGGCGGGTGGGGGCCCTAAATACTAAAAATGGGGGGGACCTAAGGTCCTCCCCCCTGGCCCCCACCCCTGAGCGGCGGGTGGGGGCCCTAAATACTAAAAGGGGGGGGGCCCTAATGTCCTCCCCCCCGGCCCCCACCCCTGAGCGGCGGGTGGGGGCCCTAAATACTAAAAAGGGGGGGGACCTAAGGTCCTCCCCCCTGTCCCCCACCCCTGAGCGGTGGGTGGGGGCCCTAAATACTAAAAGGTGGGGGCCCTAAATACTAAATACCCCCCTGTCCCCCCACCCCCTGAGCGGTGGGTGGGGGCAAATAAATCACAATGGGGGGGACCTAAGGTCCTCCCCCCTGTCCCCCACCCCTGAGCGGCGGGTGGGGGCCCTAAATACTAAAAGGTGGGGGCCCTAAATACTAAATACCCCCCTGTCCCCCCACCCCCTGAACGGTGGGTGGGGGCAAATAAATCACAATGGGGGGGGACCTAAGGTCCTCCCCCCTGAGCGGCGGGTGGGGGCCATAAATACTAAAAAGGGGGGGACCTAAGGTCCTCCCCCCTGGCCCCCACCCCTGAGTGGCGGGTGGGGGCCCTAAATACTAAAAAAGGGGGGACCTAAGGTCCTCCCCCCCGGCCCCCACCCCTGAGCGGCAGGCGGGGGCCCTAAATACTAAAAAGGGGGGGACCTAATGTCCTCCCCCCCGGCCCCCACCCCTGAGCGGCAGGTGGGGCCCTAAATACTAAAAAGGGGGGACCTAATGTCCTCCCCCCGGCCCCCACCCCTGAGCGGTGGGTGGGGGGCCCTAAA